TTTTGTCATGCTGACAGCTTCTGAAAAATCCCACTCTTCAGTGTGAAAGGATATCAAATGTTATAGGGTGAATATCATTGCATTGACATAAGGGTTTTCTGGTTTCTTCCTGGGTGTCTGTTAAGCCTTGCCGTACATGCAGGATAGTACATGTGGAAATAGTAATTGCAAGCCCATTATTATTATTGCTATAATTTATTATTAGTGTGTCTTTTATTTTATGGTGCCCACGTGTGCAGGTAATTCACAGAGAAGTACACTTACGCCATTGGAAGGTGGGAAGGCTTAGTTAACTGCAATAGCCTTGGATCCAGCTTTGATACCTGTTTCTACCATAAAACTTCCTCCCTTGACTTCAGGCAGATCACTTTGGGGCAGCTTCAGACAGCGCTGTGGTACTGAACAGCGCTTTGGGAGTGATTCAGCCCGGGAAGAACCGTGCTGTTTGTTTTCAGTGAGGGGCAGTTGGCTCAGACTCTCTTAAGTCTGTGTGCACCTGATCCTCCTCTATCCAGTGAAATAGCCTTACCACTCTGCAACAAGGGGAGGGAGGGATATGAGTAAGTCAAACTCTTAAACAGTTGTGACTTGCTGACTATGAGATAAGCCAGATACGAAGGCAGATAAATATCTGTTTCAAAGAGGTTACCGTCTAAATAGAAACTACACAACAAATACGATTGTCTTCTATCTTACAATAACGACCACAGTTCCTGCCTAATAACTGGTACTGGAGAAGGCTGACATGGCTTTAACGGCCTCGCTCTCGCAGGGTACGGGGGTCTCTTACCTACATTTGGGGAAAGCATCCGAGGCTCTGGGTGCTGAATCAGTCGGTGGGTCCCCTTTGTGAAGAGGATGGCGGAGCGGTGCTTACATTACATCAGAAGTGCTCATCAAAAGCAGGTGTCTTGGGGCTGCATTCAGGCTGCCTGCTTTGGTGTCTAATAGATGAGGAAGACCAATTCAGATTACCAGTGAGCAGTGACCCTAAGCTGGGCTTAGACGAGGAGGGCTGCAGCCAGAGTCCTGCCCAACCAATGGGATCCGACCATCAGTCCACCGAATCAAATGTGGGTCGGTCAGTCTGTCTGTCGGAAGGGTATGGCCTTCCACGTGGTGAAATCGGAGCTGCTAAGGTGACTCTTTCCAACTTCCTCATGTAAGGCTGGCTTTTTACAGCTTTGCAATATGTCTGCAGGATGTTTTCATGAGCCGAATGTTTGCCAAAAGTTCACAGATCAGTTACAAAACAGATGTACTTTTTTTTTTTTCCTCCCCTTCTTCCTACTGGTAAGGAAGAGTTTGTGCAGTAATTGCAGGCAGGTTGGGAGATGTTTTCTTCATAATTCTCCTTCTTATGAAATGTTTATGAAACACCTTCCACAAATCGGTTACGCAAGCAAGCTGAAGAGCTTTGATCATTTTCCATCGCCCTCAATATGTTTCTTAGTTTGTTTTGCTTTTTGTTTTTGTTTTTAGGCCAGAGATAGGTTAAGAAACAATCCATCCTTGGCCAGGCCCAGCAGATGTCCTAGCCAACTAAGGAAAGGACTCTCTTTCCATCCAGTCACCCTTCCTGTGTTTTTCACTCGGATTGCTTGGGGGCAGCTGACCCTATTTTAAGGCTGTGAAAACATCCCACTTGAGATTTGCGAGTGTGATTCCTTTCCAAGCCCGGAGCAGCCCTAGGTAGCTCTATGCGCCCCCCCCCCCGGCCCCCCCCCCTGCCGTTACCTCCTCGGGAGGAGCTCGGAGCTGCTCCCAGCCCTGCCCGGAGACTCCCCTCGAGCCCAGGGAAAGAAGGCGCCTGCAGATTCGCAGCTGGCAACCCAGGCTCCGCACCTCTCCCTAGCTGTCAGTGGGCAGGATGTGTTTGCAGCGCGTTGCTCGGTCCCGCTGTTTTACAAGTTCGTTTTTCCTGAGATAGCGTTATTTCCCCAAACCAAATTCAATGGGAAGAAACTTAGCTTTGCTCTTAACGACTTCTTGCCCCCCATTCCCCCTCTGATCGTCCTGTAAAACCAAGGTCCTGAGGAACCACAGTGGGATCTGGCCCTGGTTTTAACTAAACCACTGTTGCTCACTTGCGATGTTTTAGCAGGGTTCGCATCAAACACCTACATGAGGTGATTCTGTGATAATTTCAATCTTTTTTGGTTCCTTAAAGAAAACTTTTCTCATATTAGGAGAAAATGCCTGCAAATACGAGTCAGATGCACTGGGAAAGGAGAAGGCAACTCCTCCCCTTGTTTTATTAATTTGAAATTTACATTATTTTAAGGGAGTCTCATGATATTGAGTGGCCTCGCCCACAATGTGTGTGGTTTTTTGGGGTTTTTGGTTTTGGTTTTTTTAATGTACAGTTGGTAATAGTGCCGGTTTAGCCAGGGAAAAAATGAAGGTGCAGGATTTGCATAAACCATCCCAAAAGTTTTGGATATACCCCGAACTCTTGCTAATGAACAATTAGCCAGCTGCAGGCCTGTTGGGGAGAGGAAGAGGAGGGAGAGGTAAATTTGAGCCTAAACCCAATGAAAATAGGTGCAGAGGAGAAAGCTTTGTCAAGAACACCCAGGTTCCCGCCCACTGCGCAGGAGGGAGCCAGAGAATTCCAGGGACGGGGGAAGGAGCAGTGGGAGATGTTGTTGTTTTTAAATTGGGAACCGGTCCTTTGCCAAACCCACCTCCCGTTCTCATATTGTGTGATGCTGAGATGCAGCTACACACCCCTTTCACCCTGGAATGCTTCCAAATCATTCCGCTTGGCAGCTGTAAAAATTGATTTCAGTTTAGAAATGGCTCGTGCTTCTTCAACACTCCACTCCTATTGGGATCATAACTTAGGCGGGATCAAGTGCCTTGTTCTCTAAGACGTGGATAACTTTTCTTTTTGGGACTGTTCAGACTTGGATGACTGCATTGTGCCAGGCAGACACAAATGAATTGCAAGCAGGGGTAATTTATTTATTTTTTATATTTATTTTTACTTTTTGGCTCCGATGACTTTTTTTTAATGCACCCTCAGAAAGAAAAAGGTGCATAAAACCATTTGCCTGCAGTGGCTGGATGGCTCAGGGGTAACGGTGTGTTCTCCTGAGCCTTTTGTCTAACATTGAGTAACTTAGACACTATCCGCATTGATAGTGGTCAAGAAGATCTTTCCATCTGATTTTTTTCGCCAGGCTAAGAGGGATGATCATGCCAACCTGAAAGGTAGGAAAGAACTGGAATTCATAGCATGTATAACTTGTTGCAAGGGGCTAGTATTATTGCAAAACTAGTTTTAGCAGTGTCCAGAGCTATAGTTGTAATGAAAAGAGATGTTGTATTTCTCTTCCCGCTGCATAGCACCTTCCAAAATGCAGAGGTTAATGTTACAGGGCCAGCTCCCTGTGCTGCAGTTGCGAGCCTCTTGTGATCACATTTTCTCCTTTGCTCTTGCTCCTGTGGAGATTTGTGTATTTGTTTGCTTTAGCCAAACTGAAATAAAACCTCCCTCAACCAAAAATATTCGCTTGGGCCATTGTTTTTAGAAGCTGAATTTCTTGTCCCCCTCTGCTGGTAGGAGGTTGTATGACCTAAAGTCCACATCGGCACTGCAAAACCCTGGCAAACGTGACCCCGCTTGTCTTCTGGGGGATATTGGGCTCGGCTGTAATTTCATGGGAGATGGTGAGGTTCAGCCCTAGTAGTAAGAGTGAATCTGCAATGCTGAGCCCGTGGACAGGGTTTTCAAGACCTGTTCTTTCTGGTGTCCTCCTGGTTTTTCCAGTTTGTGGAAACTGGAGCCTCTTCTTGCACTGGAAAAGCTTAGATGAGGAATGGGACTGATGATGTGAACCTTGTTCCAGGCATTCCCATGCTTAGGAAAAACTTGAGCCTAAGTTTGGAAATTGTTTGCTTGGATCTTTTCTTAGAGAAAATGTGTTATAAGAGCTCTGTATGACTTTTCTGTCTCCTGTGCGTGGCATCTGCGTGTAGACACTCCTCAGACAGCTTTCAGGAATTAACCTAAAAACTTCTAAAATCTCCGCAGGTTCCCCTCTCTCCTGTCCCAGTCAGCCTTACCAAAGGATTCCAGCTAGTACAAAGTGATGTAACAGTTTTTTGCTTTTTTTTTAATGTAGTAGCAATGTTAGATATTAACACAGAGACTATGGAATAAACCAGACGCAAGGATTCAGGTCTGGTCCCAGGGTAAATTCTTCTCTTAAGAATGTGGGCTCAGAAATCATGATTTTTTTTGTAGACAGGAATCTTTCTTGAACATTAAAGTAGGTCAAAATGACCACTGGACAACGGGCTGACACCTGTGAAGTTTTCTAGTTCTTTCTCCACAGCTTGTTCTAGCTAAGGAAGCAGATTTTTCCTTGCCAGACCAGTACAATTTCTTGTTGTTTTCTGGTAGAAGCTGAGCAAATATGTTTGGTGCCTGGGGTGCTGCGTGTTCAAGTCTGGAAGATTACACTGCTTTTTGAGGTCTTTTACTTCATGACCTTTCTTTTCACATCCCCTTGTACTGTTTTCTGCTACCTGCAGAACAAAATGAGAAGCTATCTATAGCCAACCCTGCCATCGGGTTGTGAGTCGTGATCTGTAAAGGAGAATTGCTTCCTGTCTCATAACTCCACAAAATGCCTCAGTGTTTTGTCTGAGGAAAGCACTCGCATGCTTTAAACCTTGCTAAGTCACTAGAACTTGGTTACTTCCTACAGTGTTTTAATAAATGCGTTTTAATTGAGCAAACTGCAAGCCTCCCCTTGGCTTGGCAGAGCAGGAAACCTACGTCCGTGTTATAAACTGGAGAGCAGAAGTGGGGAATGACCATGCCTTTCTGTAAAGCCAGGGATGGAAGCAGTGAGTCCTGACCTCTAACTTTTATCTGAAAGCAGCCCCTTCCCGATCCCTTCCAGCCTCTCAGACTCCTAACTGCCCCGCACCTCCTGCATCCCCTTGTCTCTGCTCCCTAATGCTACAATTACTTTGCTCTTTTTCAGATTAAAACCGAAGACCTCAGTGACTCCTTGCAATCTACAATCCCCCCTAGGTCAGGTCACCTTGTGCAGGGATCATCCATGATGCCCGGAAGCCAAATCGCAGGGGTAAGTGACTTCGCTGCTTCAGGGATCCAGAATTTTGAAATGGCACTGGTTAGTGAACCTCCGGAGAAGAGGCTGGGTTTGAGACACTTGCCAAATTACGTATGCCTTTTGACAGTGGCGAAAAACCAACACACTTGAGAGTGTGATGGACACTAAAATGGAAAAGTGAATCTGCGTTGGCAAAAGTCAGCTTCCTCCTCAGCCTCTTTTCTGCAGAAAGTTTTACATGGGTTCAAAGGTAGACTGGACACATACTTGGAAAAGATTTCCTCTGGGGGTTTACTAAGTAGGCAAACCACACCATGCTCAGGAAATCCCTTGAATTGTATTTTCAGTTGGAGGCTGAGACAACACCAAGGGGAAGTGTTAGATATGCTTGCCCTGGTCTCCCTCTTTCATGAACATCTGGTTAATGCCATTGTCGGAGATAGGATTCTAGGCTAGATTAACCCTTGATCTTAGCCACTATGGCTATCCTTGAATAGGTTGCCTCAAATTGATTTATACCAGAGAAGACATTAATTCCTTGAGGGAATTTTTTCTTCCTAAGGTAAAAAGTTGGAGTTTAGCACTTAACTCTTGTTAAATTCTAGTGGGGGTTAGATGCCAGAAGGCCACACAGCTGCTCAGTAATCTCTTCCCTCATTCTTCCATGGGGTATTCAGATCCCTTACACAATTTGGGGACTGTTCAATTTCCCCAAAGCTTCAAAACAGTTCTTGAGAAGCTCAAAGAGCTCATCTTATTGAGTAATGAGTTCCTTTAAAAATGTATCTCTAAAGAGAGTTGGTCTTATTGGGGCATTTTTTGCGTGTGTGTGTATTTGTCCCAAGCAAATGCAAACTCTTATGCCCTAATCCCAACAAAGGACCTGGGGCTGGGACCCCAGTGATGTGAAAGAGCGCTAGGATGTAGTCCTTGTCTCTCAGTACCTATTGCCTGCTCTGCTCAGTGCAGGGGAGGAGAATTCCTGGCAGCTACGTGCCAAAGAACAGGAAACATTTTCACATCTGATCACTGTGCCCATCGCAATGCATTTGCTGTTGGTGCAGAGAATCAGGCGCTGCTGGGCATTGCTTCTTTCCCATCTCAGCACATGGCTGGCTGGGAAATCAGCCTTCTGTGGAAGGTAGGCTCTCAGTGTTTGCGACATGGGACAGTAAGCTGCACCTTTGTGTGTAATTTTAGGGAGTTCACTGTCTGAAAATACATTATCTGGAAGAAACTGAAATCCAAGAGGTTTTACTGTTACTTCTAACAACCAGGTTTTAATTGCCAGTACTTCAAAAATGTCATTTTCAAGAACTGACTTTTCCAAGTAAAAGTAGACAATTCTCCATGTGGATGTCTGTGTGTGCACAGAATTCTTCTTATACAGCTGAAAACTTCAGATCTGGAGTACCTCTGGATCTGTAGCTCTCCAGTGCATGAATTACACTAATCCAGTGTGTTGGCAATTAAATGAAAAGTGTGAATGGGGTCAAGGACAGTATAAAAGAGCAGGGAAGTTTTATAGGAGAGGTGATGCTGTGTGAAGAGCAGACATCTCTGAGTTTCCTTGTTCCCCTTGCTTTTCCTCGTAGGATATGAGCTCTCTTCACACCCTGCAGCAGCTTGTATTGCTTCCTGGTCATATGCAGTCAGTTCCCCAGTTTCTTCTGTCTCAGTCTCAGGCTGGGCAACAAGGTAAGAGCAATAAAAGCTGAAAAGGGCATTGTTATAAGCAGATACATATCTAGGAAAAACCTCCTTCCTCATGACTATTGCTTTTAATCTGGTCTGTGACGTTTTCCCAGCATGATGATGTCTGTTCCCCTGCTATGCTACCAGCTGCATTTTTCCCCTGCTCTTCCCCCTGTGCTGGTTCCTGCACCTGGGATGATGATCCCAGTAGTTGCTCTGGGAAGGGTCCAGTTCAGGAGGTGCTCCTGGCATCTGTGGCTTGTGTGCGCCGAGAGTGCCACCTTGGGGCCAGTCTTTGCAGACCTGGTAGGGATCCCACCTCTGAAATTCAGGACAGCATCTGTTTGGCTTTCAGCAAAACAGCAAGGAGCCTGCTCCTTGGGGAGCAGTTGCAGCCTGCCTGGGCTCCCAGCCTCGCTGGGTTGGCACTCTTCATTTCTTCCAGAAAACTGATGAGAGATTGAGCTGATCTGCCGAAGTACCTTAGAGGGAGAGTAAATCCAGGGAAGGAGCTGAGCTGCTCTGGTGGAAGGACGATGCTGGAAGGACTAGAACAAACAGGTCTAACTAGCCAGGAGCAACCCGGGGATGAGAGCTGAGAGGTTTGGAGTTGCCAGTGGTTGTTCCCAAATCTCGCTCCAAGCCATGGGACAGAAGAGGACAGGAGGTCTAACTACTTCTGAAACACAGTGTAATCTGCTCCATGAAAGGGATGAAAGGACTGAGGGACTGAACTCAGTGCTTGAGAAAGTCCCTGTGTTCCTATTTTTACCACCGATATTTTTTATGGCATCTCTCCAACAACTGGGATACAGGCATGCCATTGATTTTTATGCTGCTTGTGGACAGACAAACGTAGTCTTTGATCCCTAACCTGACAGAGGCAAAGGGACTTCGGTCCTTTGCTCACATTCTTGATTTATTCCAGCAGAGGTCCCTCCGTATGAATGAAAATTCAGAATTAAAATCTTAATATCTCGGCAGCTTGAATGCAATGGTACCTATGCCCCAAAAGAAAACTATTATACTGTAGGCAAGTGGGAAACCTACTTCTCATTGACAGTATATAAGCTCCTCTCTCTGCCAAATGATGCTGAGTGATGTATAAAGAAACTACTTGACGTATATTTAACAATACTATAGAATTAATCTGTTTGAAATGGCAGGGTCAGGATAATCTATTGCTTACCATCTGCTTTTATTCATGTGTAATAGGAAACACATTATACTGGAAAACAGAACTTGCTTCCTTTTATAGATTTAGAGTTTCTTCTGTTATGTGACTTCCTTTGGCAGCTATAACCCCTCCAACAGATGGCCATTTGTTTGGCCATGACCCCTTTTGGTTCCAGACTTGATGAAGACTGGATATTCTGGCCAGTAGCCAGCTCTTTATGCAAGAGCACTTCCATTTGAATAGATGATTGCCAAGTTTTAATGACCCTTTGCTGCGTGCATGCACAGCCACTGGGGAGTGAAAGTGAAGGCACAGTATTTGTTTTGTGGAATTAGCTGTTTGGTACAGATACAGATGGAGCGTTCTTCATACCAAAGAGATGCACAAAATATTCCTGAAGTTGTCCCTTGGGCCGTTATGGGAACACACTCAATGTTCCCCGAGTTCTGACTGATTGGTACATCAGTTCATGGATTTCATGGCCAAAGGGACTTGGCTGTGGGCTTAACCTTTCCAAGAGGACACACGTTTTGGTTTGAGTTTAGTGTTTTAAAGCTGTTTTTAAGCCAGATAAGTTGTCAGGTCTGATTCATTATGCCCTGATGTGATTCATTGCGCAGCCCTTTAAACACCTAATGCTGGCACGCTTGAATAAGGGGGTGAGAGCTCTATGCTGTAAAGGTGGAAACAAGCAGCCAGGTAGATGCTGGGAATACTGTCAGCCAAAATATTGCTGCTGAAGTCTTCATCTTACAAAAACACAGCCTTGGTCTCATCAGCTGTCAAACCAGTGATTCCTGAATCCAGTCCATAATTTTCATTTGAGCTAGAGCTTAGCTTTTGCAAAGGTGTTCAATCATGATTTTAAAGACTCCAAATGACAGAGCATCCGCCATGTCCCTAGGCAAGCCATTCCAGTGATTAATTACCTTCACTGTTAAAAATGTGCACCTCATTACCAGCCTGCATTTGAAATTCAAAGTTGTTCCAGCATTACAGAAGGCTTATTGAAACACCAATCTAAATAAATAAATGGGATCCTGCACATTCAGATCTAAATTAAAAAAGGAAAGACAGAAAGAGAGAGAGGGGGGAGTGATTGGTTCTGGAGATGATCTTTTTTCCCTTTTTTTTTTTTTTTTAGCAGAAGTCCATAAATTTCTATAGCTTTCCCTATAATTGTCAGTTACAATCAATAGAATATATTGACTGCTTCAAGAAAGCTTATAAATCCTCACTAAATTCTATAGGCTTCACCCACAACAGACTTGAAGAACCTAACTAAATTTCTAGGGAACTACACTGCTTCGGTCGCTACTTAATCCTTTAGGACATTCCCTATAAGAGATATAGGCTTGTACTTGGCAGTTTGTCAACTAAACAATTACACAGTCTCCATAAATACTAGTTTTTGTTAGTTTTATAGATTTCCCTTCTTTTTTCCTTTCATCATTTTGTGTCAGTTTATATATTCCAAAAGAAATTCAATTTATTTGAAATACAGTGGGGTAGAAAAGAAAGGGTCAGGCGGCTTCAAAATGACACTTCAAAATGAAATGTATAGTAGAAAGCAGAGTGGGTAGGCTCATGAGATTAACTGTAGGATCAGGATTTTTTTAACAAGATCAAGTGGCTGAAAGTTGGAGTCAGAAAAGCTTCTATTGGAAATAAGATGCACATTTTTTTAATAGCTACAATGATTAAGCACTGGGAGAGATCACCACTAAGGATGTAGTAAATTCTCTGCTGCTTGGCATCTAAAATCAAAGTTAGATGTCCGTCCATGTAAAATGTCTATGCCCTAGTTCAACCTCAGGTTAATGAGCTACAGGCAGGAATCAGTGGGTGAGATATTTTACCTATATCATATTGTAATTATCCCTTTCAGGCTAAAAAGCCGTGAAAAGAACCCTTCCTTTCTCATAGTCCAACTCAGAGCCATCCACATTTGTAATGGCCAAAATTCTCATATTTTGAACAAGAGCTAGTTGATGTTTTCCATTCAGAGCTTCATGAGTCTTTCCTGTGCAGAGTGATGTTCAGCTGCCTAGGTGCTGATGAAGGAGCTGGTCTGATCAAATGCATCTCTTTTTCTCTCTTCAGCTTTGCAGCCAAACATCCTCTCCTTCCCTCAGCAACAGGGCAGCCTTCTCCTCTCCCAGCCGGGACCCAGCCTGGCATCACAGGTAACTTGCCTCAATGTTCAGTCCAACATACAGTCCCACCCTGAGAAGCACCCATCTACGAAAAGTGCTGCTTCATTAAGGGCAAATGGCAGAGAAAATGGTATGCTTTTCTAGTCTTGTGACTCTATGCATCTTTTTTGTTGTTTTGACAGGCTGTGGGCCGTTCTGGACTCCCTGGCTCATCGGTTGAACCCCACCTGGACGTACCCCAGCATTTACAAGTGGCAAAGCACCTAACTCCATCAGGAGCATCTGAGGAACCCAGTGACCTGGAGGAGCTGGAAAAGTTTGCTAAGACTTTCAAACAAAGGCGAATCAAATTGGGGTTCACGCAGGTGAGCGGCCTCATCAATGGGAAGGGTGGTGTCGCTTGTGATGTGGACATGTGGGGCTGGGGGAGTTTGTGGCAGAGGAGTGGATGGAGGAAGGGCCGGATTAGATACAGTTTGGCTTTCTTTGGAGCTTCCCCTTCCAAACACATGAAGAGACAAACCCTTCCTAATACATCATTACCATGACCTCATTATCTGCACCTTCTTCAATACACAAAGGCTCAGGGGTGTGGGGCAGACTCCCATGGGAAGAGAAGTCACTTTCTCTGGACGGCAAGTCATGGAAACTAGGCTGCACCTATTCTGGAAGCAGCCTGGGAGGTGGTCTGACAGCAGGAAGCTGTGAGGGTTTTTTCTGAGCTCATGTTGTGATTCGGATCTTCTCTGGCAGGGTGACGTTGGACTTGCCATGGGGAAGCTCTATGGCAATGATTTCAGCCAGACCACCATTTCCCGCTTCGAGGCTCTCAACCTGAGCTTTAAGAATATGTGCAAGCTCAAACCTCTGCTGGAGAAGTGGCTGAGTGACGCAGGTGGGTGACATTACGTGCAGAAACGCCACCAGTCTTGGCCAGGATGAGAGGATCCATCCAGGAACCTCCAATAAAAGCCAGGAAAATCAGAGCTGGAGCTGAGATTTCTCAGAGCCGTGGTTGGGCTGGTAACAGGCTGCTTTCCTCTGTGGATCACACAGCGGGTTGCATAGCAGCCTAGATATCAAACCACATCTGTCCTTTCTCTCTGGCAATATGGGATTCACGTTGCAATTTGGTGTCTGGGGCAGTCCCTTCCTGCATCGCCTCTTGCTCTGTTGCATGGCTTGGGGCAAATCGCTGGGCTAGTCCATTCAGTCCCTCCTTGTGTAAACTGGAAAGAGTAGGAAGGGATTCCTAAAGTGCTCAGAGATCGGTCCATGAGCAGTAATTAGAAAAGGAAGGTATCACTGCAGGGGGAATCCCCAGTAGTAGCAGTATTGGGCTGGTGTCCTCTGCTGGCTGCAAGCCACTGTAGGAGTGGCATTAGCTTCATGTGCTTCACCCAGCCCTTCCAGAGTTGCATGTTTGACCAATTTGTGTCAGGACGTGTCTCAGCTACAGGAGGCCTGATCCCAGTGGTGTAAGTCAACATCTTTAACTGTGTGAAAGTAAATCATTGGAAAATGCGTGGTCCCCATCAGAGCAGGCTGGAAATCAAGCTGGAAAAAGGAAAAATAGCGTATTGATTAAAATTTTAGCACTTTCATTTATTTCCTGATTTGGACAAGGTCATTGATGGATTTAGGACTGTTGGAGCAATTTTAATCATCATCAGAGGAAGGATCCACAACGTAGGAACATTTTATTTAGTTTAGGAGGTGCCATAGTTCCCAAAAAGGATCTAGGAATGAAAATAACTCATTATCTTCTTGAATATCTCTCTTCCCCTCCCTCTTTCCCCAGAATCTGCTCCTTTGGATTCTTCCATGAGCACTTCCAATTCCTACCCCTCAGTGAATGAGATGTTTGGACGGAAAAGAAAGAAGCGAACCAGCATTGAGACCAACATTCGCTCCACGCTGGAGAAAAGATTTCAAGATGTGAGGGGAAAATCTTTCAATGTGTTGTGACCTGATGATCTTAGAGGTCTCTTCCAACCTTAATGATTCTATGATTCTATGACCTCTCTCTGAACCTGGCATCTGCTAGGTCATAGTAGCACTGCATCGTCAAATAGGGACATCTCTTTTTGTGTTTGTTCTGATAGCAGGTTAGAAAACCCTTGAAGGGGTTAACAGGAAAAGTGTCAAAACCAAAGAAATCAGACCCGATTATTTCCTTGTTAAATGTTGTTTTAAAGGAATTACAAGTTCATCACCACACCTCCCCATCATCTTCCACTGATCAGTGCTCTCGCCAGAGCTGATCTCTTGCACCCACCTCTTCTCTTTGCGACTTGCGGGCGTGTGGCCACGGTGCAGCACGGAAATGGATGCCCCCTTAAGCAGATCTTGTGAGACCACAGAACTAGTTGCTCCACATACTGCTGCTGAATCATTTCAGAAGTGGAGCCTTTTACTTTTTAAGCATCAAGATTTTCAAGAAAAATCACTACAGAGGGCAAACAGAGCTTTAAATCAGTAGGACTAACTTGTCCATTGAAAATTTTTTATCAAAACTGGTTTTGACCAGCCCTCCTTTTTTCTTGGTTTCTCCCTCATATCTGATCATATCAAAATTTCCTCCTACAACTGTTAATGAGAACAAAAGACAATCATTGTCAGGTCATTATGGGCACCTCGTTTTTAGCTACTATGAGGCATTCTTTGTAATGGGAAAACTGTCTTGGCATCTCTGTGCTAGGTATTTTTGACCCTCAAGTCTCCAACTCAGATCAAAACCCATAGAGCTAAATGCTGTCTAATACACCAGAAAATAAGTGACTCGGAAGAAAGGATAGGTACAATTATTTCCCTTTATAAATGAGGGATGGAGGAAGAACGAGAAGAAATGGCTCTTCCCAACTGGTGCAGGTAGGCATACAAACAGCACTCAGAGCTTGTGTGTCCTGTGTAGCGCTAAGACCACCAGTCACAAGCTTCCCCCCAAGCAATAATTTAGGGTCCTGTTAAGATCAAAGAGCGTGGTGCTTTATACAATAACAGGGCCAGGTACTGTGACTCATCCCCCACTGATTCCGTGAGACTTGATGTTGAATCAGAGGCACTTTCTGGTTCACAGAAATAATCTCTCACCCAAATATTTACCCTTTGTCTTAGAAGCAAATTTTCTCCCCTCCCCAGTTTACAGCCAACCCCACCCTTGTCCTCTGCCTTTCCAGCAGCAGAAGCATACATTGATGCTGTAAGTTACAGCTCTTCAGGGCTTTCTTTAACCTCCTGCCCTTTCTCAGCAGAACCCCAAGCCCAGTTCAGAGGAGATATCCTTGATAGCAGAGCAGCTCTCCATGGAAAAGGAGGTGGTTCGGGTCTGGTTCTGCAACCGGCGCCAGAAGGAAAAACGGATCAGCTGCCCGATGCCATCCCCCATCAAATCACCTATCTACAATTCCAGACTGGTGAGAGATTTTGGATTAAGGAGTTCTACATGCCATCCCAGACAAGAAGGGAAAAGGTGAAGGGGGGGGGGGAATGCAGCAGGGTTTGCTGGAAAAGGAAACAGGACAAGACATTTCCTTGTACGTACAAGTCCCTGAGTTGCTTGCAAGCTCACTCCACAGTCCAGGGGGAAATTACACCTGCAGAAGTGTGCAGAGGGACAGCTGGGCTAGCCACGGATTGGGCATATATTCAACATCCTAACTTGAATGGAATCTCACGCCCGCATTTACAGAACACTTATTTTTATTCTATTAATGAAATCAATAGAAAGAAAACACAAGTTTCCTGGAAGGCACAGGTCAGTTTCATTGTAGGATAATTTATCCAAATAGTGGTGCTATCCCAAAACTTTTCACCCTGAGATTGGTAAATAAAAGCTTTCCAAAGTTAATGGAGGAGGAATCAGCATTCCATGGAATGAGAATTACATCCACTCATGTCAATTTAGTTGTTAACTCTGAAACCTAATGGTAACCATTTACATATCAGTTTGTTGTTTTACGTCTTTGCAGAAATGCAGAATACACTCCAGTAGTGCTAGCTGTCTTTCTTTCACGTTGTACATTCACATTTTGGCAAGTGTATTTTCAAGAAACTGTTGTGAGAGTTGGTGAAAGCGTGTCCTACCATCAGTGGCTACTGTGGATAATAAGCTACTATTGCATTTCTGCTAGTTAATAGTTGCTTAGTTGCTTCCACATATAAAAGTGGCAGGAACCTCCCTACAGTGTTATGAGTGCTGGAGCACATGTTCACAAGCAATATTTTATCTTTAAGTCTTCTGGGTTTTGGAATTATCCATCAGAAGGCAGGAAAACATCACAAGAAGTTTGGTCGCTTGTTGCACAACACATTTGGTCTCCAGTCACAAACACAAAATGCTGTTTGCAAGCCATGAATTTTTAAAGCAGTAGCTTTGGTGAATAGTTTTCCTGTGAATGCATTGTACAAAGTATGCCTTTGCTCATCAGTCATTCTGAACAACATGTTGCCTTTAGTTAAAGTATCACGGTTGAACAATAAATGCCCCAGGCTTGCTTTGATTGCAGCCACCAAATTACTAATTGTCACCTGAGAATTCTCACCCATCGAGAACTCCCTAAAGGAGAAGGGATTATTTGTGCCCAAGACCAGAGTGTGCTGGGAAGCTTCAGACTAGGAACATCCAGCCTGAAACATCCAAAGGGCGGTGGCTCCTACCAACCGGATCTCAGGACTTCCAGAAAGTTTGGCTTGTGTTTGATAATTTCAGGCTTTTCCATAGCTGATCCATAAATTTAGACCTGTGTAGGGAGTGTCAGGCACATGTAATACTCATTGTGGTTTCTTTCCATGGCCCTGGATATGGGAATGGTGCTTAGAGTATGAATACTAATATCTGTGGGAGCCCCAGATGTAGATAAGAAGTCTGCCTAGGAGCCAGCACACTCTAAAGGGAATATGAAAGGAGTGGCATTTTGTGATCTATACTCTCATAGTGCCAACTGCTTACTGTTTGCTTCTGCTTCTCTCTAGGTCTCTACCTCAGGGTCCTTGGGGCCCCTCTCCGTCAATCCGGTGCATAGCACCATGCCTGGGACTGGTAAGCCTTGAGAAACCTGCCTCACTCACCATTCCTTCCCTCCTTCCTCTGCTCTTGCTCTCTGACTACCTGGTTTCTAGGTCACATTTGCAGGCCACACTTAATAAGACCCTTGGGTTTGGTCAGGGAAAGTATCCCCACATAACCAGTGTACAAGGGATAGGAACAGCAGAGTCTTTCTCTTGGCTGGAACAAAGGCATGGAAAGCTTCCTGGGGATGATAACATTCCCAGGATAATCCTAGGCAAATTTTACTGGGGTGTTTATGCTTGAGAGCTAGGCACACCTAGAAGCCCAACGAGAGGAGTGCTTGGGGGTTCTTCAGCAGAACATTGTCAGATCTCCTTCGAGAAGCGCGATTCACAGAGAGAGCAGTCCTGGAGACCCCCACCTTCTCTGTCGCCGGGGCACAGATTCTGCCTTGCTGCTGCAGGGCAGACAGTGAATCAGATAACAACAGGATGGGTACAAGATATGGTGGAGGTGCTTGGGCTTGGGCTGTCCTTGGCAGGAAAAGGAGATCCCAGTCTTATTCTGCTTTCTCTGCTACACAGTAACATCATCGTGTTCCCCAGGGAACTCCAGCAGGCCCTCGTCCCCTGGCAGTGCACTCCATGCCAGCAGCCCCGGCACAGCCCAGAGCAACTCCAAAGCTGCAATGAACTCTGCCGGTTTCAACTCTTCAGGGTAAGGCAGTGGGGGCCCACAGCTCGCTCCTTGGCAAGGGCATCGGAGGGCTTGGGAGACAAGCAACTGGGACCTTAGAGAAGAACGTGCAAGCCCTTAGAGACTCCAGCAATGTGGAGCTAACGTGGTGGCACATTCTTACATGAAGCTTCACATCTAACCTGAAGCTTCTTGGGATATGGCTATTTTTCTGTTTGAAGGTAAATAGTAAATCAAATTTTGCCTGAAAAACTGTGCTGGTTGAAAAAAGGAAAAAAAAAAAAAAGCCCAGCCAAAGACCTGAATAGAAACACTGGCCATAAGGACGGTCCTAAACCAACTCTCCGTGTGGAGGAAGCAGAGGAAGGCTTATTTTGCTGCTTCTGCTTGGATAACCCCCTCCACAGCCAGTTTTCTCTCCTGCAGTGCCACCCAGAGAGCTCTGCTGCAGAGTAACTGTTCCACAGTGGCAGATGAAACAAGAACAAAGATTTTCCTCTGCCCTGCCTTTAGATGCTACAAAAGCATTAAGCCACACATACGGGCCCAGAGCCCTTCTGGTTATTTCACTGAACATGCCTCTGCCACAGTCTGTGCTGCTCAGGCCTCTCTGCGCTTGTAGTTTCTGCTACATCGCACCAAGCGTGCTGCGTAAGTAGGAAGGCAACAGAGAGCAGAGGGCGTTACCCATAGCTGCTGGGCTTTCTGAGTCACGGATCATCCTGTGCCGTGAATCAGACCTCCTCTTACATGGAGGAAGTCCAACAGCCAGGTAGTATGTGAAATCACAAGCACAGTGGAAGATTTTGCTGTGAGCTTCCTATAGGAGCAAAGGATCATTTGCTGGCTGCCAAGTCAAAGTAAGGTTACAAATGGAATAATAATGACTTTTATTTCAAGGGGAAACTGTTAACAACATGGCAATTGTAGCTCTTATTCCCTGTGTTGCAAACAGATCTTGGTACCGATGGAATCAACCTACCTACCTCCACTGAGATGACTCCTCCATCATGTGTAAAAGGAGCTCTGACTTCCAGCTATGGACCAACTTCTCTAGGAACAATGCTCGGGGCAACATCTGGCGTTCCAGTGCCTTCAAAATGCTGCCAAATGAAAGTCTTGTTTAAGAGAACCCATAGCAGCAGAACTCTCCAGGGACTCAAACTGCAGCTGACCTTCCCCAAGGATTCTCAACACCAACAGTGACATTATAATACTCTTCCAGGCATTCACTTCAAGAATGAGCCCTTGCTTAGCACTATTAGCATGAAACACTGCCCTCTGCTTGCAAATCTCTGCATTCACACTGGATTGCCTGGCAATCTCTAATCTGGAAGGATTTCTATGTCAGGACCCTCTTTTCCCCTCACTCATTTCAGAGCTTCCCATAAGAAGGGTCTGTCATGCTGTTACTATCACGCACACATACCATAAACCCCCAAACTGAGCCGAGGTTACCCAGTTCATTTCACCAGAGACCTGTGTCTAGATGTGAGCCTTGGTTTTCGATAGGCTTCTAAGGTCAATGGCACTGTGCTTTATCCACTGTCAAACTTGCTTTGCTTTGAGCCACTCTGCTCTGTTTCTAAAGGTGGTTTTTTTTTCTTTTTTCTTCTTTTTTTTTTTAATTAAGTATTTTACAGCCTTCTTATTTTTTCCTTTTAAAAAAAATTGTTGTCTTTTGCAAAATTTGTGTCCAGGTCTTGTTATTGTTCACAGCTGGCCCCACTGCCCCACTGGAGGACGTCACCGTTCGAAAACCTTGGGCGAACTCCTGACTCCATTGAACACAAAAGCAGTTTGCGTTGATTTGATGGGACAAGGATTAGTCTTGACCTTCCCTTCTTTCTTTTATTCATCCTTTGGGTTTTATCTGATACCAAACGGAAACAACCTCTCTGGAGTAGAGGTGTGCATGTGTTCTGGTCTTTCCTGAATTGTAAGTAATATGTAGCTTGCCTGTTCTCTGCAGCATGCTCTTCTGTTCCTGGGAGGACAAGTTGTATTGCTCAGGTGTGAATCTTGAGGTTTGTGTGTGCAAGAGTTTCTTAATTTCATGAGATGCCAAAGTGTAGGAAACTTCAACTTTCACAGCATATCACTAGGGAAATTGTTGTTACTTTGCAACTCTCCACTTGAAAAGAGGTAGATATTTAATTTTGTTTAGGTAGACTTGCGTAATACAAATTCCCGGTCAGGTTGTCTATGGGTACTAGTAATTAATTCAGTGGAACTAGAGTAAATGAGTGTATGGTTCACAGATTGTAAATAGACATTTTTGAGTAGTAGTCTTTTTTTCTGATGGCTTTTTTTTTTTTTTTTAGATAAATGTGACCTTTTTTTTTAAGTAAAAGTTATCCTTTGTCACTTCTGGGGGAAAAAAAATGTTTGATCCGTTGTTTCTTATCCTACTTATCCAGTCCTTTGTGATGAACTATTGCTATAGGGATCTGTGGACCTTAAGAGTTTATCAGCTGCCTTCACACAAAGTATTGAGCCCTACATGCACATTGTCTATAGAACCGCATTTGTTGCTTTGAGTGAGGTTTTGCTATAGAAGCAGACACTGATGATAATGAGAGAGGACTGGAAAAGATAAGGTAACATTTCTAGAAAAATGGAAATTAAGAAAAATATTTCTTTTTTTAAGTTACTAAGTTTTTTCAAAATGTTCTAACACAAAAAAGGGAGAAACTGTATTTCTGTTTCCTGGACACCAAAAGGGAGAAACTTGTTTTCTGTTTTCCAGGCCCCCCCCCCCCCCCCCCCCCCATTTACCTCTAACTGAAACACTTTTATCATCTCTGTTTTTCAGTGGAAACATTAAAATTAAATGAAACTTTTTTTTTCAACAAAATCTGTTGTGATTTAAAAAAACATTTTATGTTGGGAAAGCAAGAAATGTAGATGGGAAGTATTAATCTAACTCTCCTGATTTCTATGGCTCTTCTTTCTGCCATTAATTAAATTTTCTTACATGCTTGCAGGGTTGATTTCAAGCCTTGTTCTCCATTGCTTTCCAACTATATTTAGAGATGTGAAACAAATTATTTGAATATAATCATTCTAAAGCTAAGCCGTGACAGGTTTGGTACAGCTGCACGGGTGGGTTTTCTTGGCAGATCTCTTAAGGTTCCCATTACTGTCTTTAATAGGGACTTCCCTGCGAGAACCGTCTTCTACAGCTGGAGTGACAGGGATTAAACATGACAGCTTTTTCTATGGTGTGCCTTAATCACAGGATTCTTGAGGAAAAAACGAATTCTCCTCCAGCCAAGAGAATGATACTACAACAGTGTTTTAAAACAACTGCGCTACGACAGCTGCATTTAAACTCAGCTAGTTAGTTGTTCGTGGGTCAGCTGCAGGGGACGGATCGTGCCAACGTGCCCTCCCTGCGCGAACTTACCCCTGCCATTTGCCTCCATGGGATTGCTTAGAACGGTGGGCTCTCAGAAAGAGCTAAGGCGAGCTCTGCAGACACAGAGCGATACCTGCTCAGCTCCCCCCCAGCACTGGCTCTGTCCTGCTGGAAAAGCCTGCGTGATCGCTGCTGAATGCTAATAGTGAAAGATGTCTAGAAATGAATGCACCTACGTATACGCAACCAGGGACTGGTAACGGTTTTTATTCGCATGCAAGATCTTTGTTACCAGATAGAGATTTGGGGTTGATACTATATTTAAGTATTTTGCCTGATTCATTTCCATTAATTTCACGTAAGCAGCTGAGTTAAACTGGCTGGGAGGCTGGTGGGGTGAGACTAAGCGATCTGTACTAAAATGGTGGAGGGTAGGAGAAACAGGAATGAACAAGTCAGCAGAAATTTGCTTTGCTTTTTAACTAAAGCATGCCAGCATTTTGTTGGTTTTTTTGAAAGAAACCTTTCCAGAGTTCTGTTTCTCTCTTATCTGGTCTAAAAGATTAGAAAAAAAGTATAATTTTACGTGAAAATTTCAATTCTGTCATAAAAAAAAAATCCATTCAGAAAACAGATCACTGACCTGTACTCGTGTGCAGATAAAGTGTGTGGGAGGAGAATTTTCCTCTCCTGTCTCTGGCTGGCATGGCATAAACCCCATGGCGTACTAAGATGAGCCCATGTGTGTTCATGAATCAATCATACCTGCCACGGCTGAACCCTGCCAGGTGCACTGCTATGGGCTTGTGCCCTTGGAGAAGAGATGCTGCAAGTCCTAAGGGAGAGGTGTAGGTGACAACGGGCAAATTCATAACCCCTCCCTCAAGGAGCTGCCTTTCCTCGCAGGCCTTTCGTTGAAACATCTCCCCCGAGCTCCTGTGAGGGCTGGCCAACACTGTGAGAGGAGGATGGAGGGTGAAACAAACAATCTTTCTCATGCCAGCCTGAGAAGTTATTTGCATGTGACTGTTCACTGAGTGTGCTGCAACCCTATGAATAAGTCAGCAGGATTTGGATTTTGACCAAACAACAGCCCTGGCTGTTGCTCTGTAATTATAAAGACCCCTTAAGAAGCTTCCAGCTTTTACAATCCTTATTCAAAGCCAGTTCCACATGAAAAAGATGTTCAAGTGGCATGAAGGGATCTTGCTGCAGCCTCTCCCTCCTAAGATATAGACCTTCTTAAAATTAATACTCTACATCATGGAAATGAGCGCATCACAGGATGGCACGCTGCTAAGACAATGACACTTTCTCTCTTTTTACTTTTCCCCTCCCCCCTTTTTTTTTTAATTTTGGCTATTATCAATATTTAAATATTAGCAGATAGGAAGAATGAATTTAAACCACCGATCTGTACCTTTGGGACACCCTATCTTATTTTACTTCCTGCATGACCTTGGACAAATGACTTAATCCCCATTAGATGACGGTGATAATAATCCTTCCCTTCTCCCAGTCCTCAATTTGTGCTAAATAGCATAGTTCACGAATGATAAATGTTGCAGCTGATTCTGCTGCCAGCCATCATAGAAGACATTTATTACACTGACTCTCAGCAAAGCTCTAGTTTCCAGCTTGTTTCTATTGTGAAAAATGTCAAGTTATTTCATAGATTATAAGCAATTATTTAAAAGCTCAGAAGCGACCATTCTGATTGCCTTCATAACCCTAGCGTGCAAATTTTACCCAGTAATTCCTGCATTAATCCTACACCTGGTAGCTGAGCTGTAACTTGGCTACTGATTTCAGAGTCAGTTGACAGCCTACTTGAACACTTGGTAAAGGGTCCCAGGGGTTTGTGAGCCTCTTTGTCAAAAGAGACCAAAAATGAAGTTGTGAAAGGCAGCTATTTACAACAGTATATTTACAAGTAATGGTACATGTATACACTCTTATAGTGTAGAAAAGATACATCAGGATCAAAATCTGGCTCTTAACTGACAAGGACTATTCCATTTAATTTTCAGAAATTCCTCTAAGTCATTTGCTCCCACAAAAGCAGCACTGCATAAATTTTGGAATATTATTTCTGAAAGCTGGGAGGGAGATTACAAATGTATTAAATGCTGAATAAGGGTATCTGCACATCAGCATTGCAGCTGAGATCAAAGCCAAGCTGTGCCAGGTGTGCAAACACATCACGAGAGTTGATCTCCACTGAAAAGTTTATAAACACAATAACAAGTCTCTCAGACTTGTTGATAACTGGTCCTAAATAGGAAAACAAACACTAGGAGCCTGTTTGTTTCACAAAAAGCTACAGTTGGAAGGGAAAGGTCTTCACTCCCCTGTCTTCCAGGAATAATTCTGGTCTCACAGGAGCATCTAAGGGATGAAAAATATATAGAACAGGAAATTCCAGCTTTCCAAGCCTAAGAGTCACCTCCCACAGCCATAGATAAACAATGCAGGGAACAATTGCTCACAAGCAGATGTGCCTCACAGTGGCTATAAGAACTCACATAATCTCCTGAACAACCTGATCTGCTACCAAAGCAGCCCTTGTGCCTGAACAGTTTCCACGCTCTCTGTGCCTGCTCTTCTCCTCAGGAGCTCCTCCGCTCCTCCACC